AGTGCTGGCCGGTCCTCAGTCAGCAGGTCACCTGGACAGTGAGAACAAGACCAACGATAGGTGGGGTGGGGAGTCTAATCTAGCCTCCTCTCCACCACGGAAAGTCTTCCTTTTCTCAGCGAGGACCCGGACACATGTACCCAGAACAGCCATCAACACGACATCATAAGAGGGTGGGTGCAGGGAACTCTGGTTGCTAGGCAACAGGTCCTGGTCCAACTTAGTTTGGCTTTGGTGATGGCAATGAGGGTCTTTCAGGACCAGTTGTTAACACCTGTCCCCCCACCAGTTGCTTTTCTGGTTACCTGGTGGCTTCTTCCTCTCAGGGACCCCCAAAGTGTGGGGCCTAAGGGACAAGCTTGGTCTGCCTTCCTATAGATTATAGGAGAGGCCCCCCTGGATTCAGGTAAGCACCCCTTCCTTCTCTCCCTCGCTCCCTCCCACTGACTGGCTGCTGGAGGACAGGCTGGCCCCTCTGCTTCCCACCGCCTCCTGGGAAGTTCCTGGGGCCTCAGCTGGGGTCAGGTCACTTCTCAGCTCCTCCACTGATCTCTCAAGAAGCCCCAGAGTGTTTGGCAAATACGGTACTAAAGAACACGGCAGCTTTAGTGTGGAGAATTTTCAGTTACTGGCCGTGGGTAGGACAGGTCCTTGACTTTTGGTCACATCCAAGTTGATCAGGAGGGAAACTGGCGAGGCCAGAGGCAGCCTCTCCAGGGCCAGTTCCTGTGCCTGTTGCAACAGAGGAGGACGTCCTGCCTGCTACTGGCTGGTGGCAGGAGTCTAAAGCCTCACATCCCAGGGGTCCAGAAGTGGCAGCCCTTGGTCACTGCCCACGAGTCTGTTCATGGTGGGGCCGGCAGCTTTCGGCCACTACCCATGAGCCTGTTCAGAGCGGGGCCTCGACCACAGCCCACACGCCCGTTAACAGAGCAGGGCAGGGGGCCACTGCCCACAAGCCCGTTCATAGTGGGGCCAGTGGCCGTTGGCCACTGTCCACAAGCCTGTTCAGAGCAGGGCTGCGGGTGAAGAGCTAAAACTGGGACGGACAGACTCTCTGTGCTCAAGCCTGGTCTCCTCTCCTCCAGGTCCACGGGAGTCAAGTGACAGGAAATCTGGATCCAAATCAGAAAACTGAGTTCTGGGAAAACCCCTGGGACGTGGGGGGCCTGGTGGTGATTGGCTTGTTCATCGCCGCGGTCATGCTACTCAGCATGTTTGCTGTACTGTTCCGTCTGGTCTCCAACAAGTCCAGCAACTATGAAGAGAAGGATTCCTCAGTGTTCCCCAGGGAGGTGGAGGGGGAAGACGACCGCCAGCCAGAAACGTCCTTCCCCTCTGGCTGAAGGCCCGAGTCCTGCTCCTCTTCTTCCTTTACGAATGAGTCCAGTCAGACGCAGGCTCTGGTCAGGACTTGGCCAGACCGGCCTGATGGCGGGGCTGGTCTGAGCTGGACTCGGGGCCTCTCCAGCCCGATGCCACCTGACACCTGAGAGCACAGCCTGGCAGAGGAAAAGCACCGACCAACCAACCAAAGCGAGTAAAGTCCCGTGTAAAATCTTCTCACTTGTGAGAGCTCATTTTCTGTCCAGATGGAGCCGCCAGGGCCCGTTCCCTCACAGAGTCCTGTGGCGCCGTGTGTGGTCCGTGCCCTGTCCAGCTTCCCTTGTCCATTCTCAGCACCTCCTCCAGTTCTCGAACAGTGTTCTCTGCCCGCAGGCCTTCTCTGATGCACTGTTCTGTCTGTCCTCAGTCTCCCAGGGCCTCTAGATTGTGTGCGGGCCGCTTTATCTGCCAAGTGTTGAATGAACAAGCACCTCCCACTCACCAACGTATCCCAAGGCCCTGCACCTGGCACAGGATTGACACTCAGCAATACTCGGTGTTTGAGCAAATGAGTACATGAACCAAAGAGGGAAAACGGGTTACAGGAGGATGCTGGACTGCTGGGTACCTCCAGCCCCAAGATCCCAGAACAGAGGGCTGATTCCGTCCAGGCCTACAACCCAGCCGGCCACTCTCCTCTCCAGACAAACGGTACAGGGGGCAGGCCCGAGAGTCCGAAGAAACCTGAGCCTCAGAGAGAGTGGCTGCCCACTGGGCAGAGAGCAGGACCCACTCAGCTCATTCTCACAGACCCAGCCTCTGAAAACCCCGTAAGACCTAGCCTCCACCCCACAGACCCAGCCTCCGGTAATCCCCACAGGGCCCACCCCCATCCCCTCAGACTCAGCCCTTGGTAACCCCCACAGGACTTATCCCCTACCCTGAAGAACTAGCCTCTTGTAACTCCCCTAGGGGTACTCCCCATCTTGTAGATCAACCTATCCCCCACTCTGCAGACCCAGCCTCTGATACCCCCCACAGGGCCCACCCTCATCCCATAGACCCAGCCTCTGGTATCCCCGCAGGGCCCACCTCATTCCGCAGACCCAGCCTCTGGTACCCCCGCAGGGCCCATCCCATCCCCCTGATCCAGCCTCTGGTATCCCCGCAGGGCCCACCTCATTCCGCAGACCCAGCCTCTGGTACCCCCGCAGGGCCCACCTCATTCCGCAGACCCAGCCTCTCGTATCCTCCCTGGGGCCCACCCCCATGCGCAGATCCTGCAATAGTTGCCTCTGAAGACATGTACTCGCCTCTCCTGAACTCTCAGTGGCCACTATGTCCCCCACTGCCAGCTGTCCTCCCCAGGACTGCCTGTGGGAGCAGCTGCCTCAGCCTCACCCTCGACCACAGCTATTCTTAGGAAAGGGGCAAGCATCCGCCAGGAGGTCTTCCTCAGCCCCTACACACGTGTGCAGTGAGCTTCCTCCTGCCCACCCAGCCACCCACCTCGGCCTCGAGTCCTGGTATCAGGAAGCCTCCCGTGGCCAGCAGGAGCAGAGGCAGGGGGCCATTACCCGGTCACAGCTCCTGCAAGGACAGCAGGCAAGCCCTGTGGGGAACAGCCCTTGCCTGGGAAGGGCCTGGGGAGCAGGCTCAGGGATACGGCACAGGGAGCCCAACAAAGGGTCATGAAAATGAAGGAAAGACTCCAGGAGACGGCTGAGGTCACTGCTACGGCAACTGGCCCAAACGCACCAACAGGCATGGGGATGGTGTGGGACCCCGCAGGGGCTCGGTTTATGTCGGGTCACCGAAAGCCAGTGACAACTAGGAACAACCACACCTCCCACAGCCCCCGCACAGCCCCCACACAGCCCCCGCACAGCCCTCGCACAGCCCTCGCACAGCCCCCGCACAGCCCTCGCACAGCCCTCGCACAGCCCCTCTCAGACTCAGGCTGGGCAAGGCCCCGCACCTTCGCCCCGGCTGCCGAGCTGCCTCTCACTGAGAGATCCGACAAACTGGACCAGAACAGCCCTGCAGGGCCGTAAATCAAGAAACGAAGGCTGCAAATCTTAATCAGAGAAGACGGCCCCATGGTTCCTCTATAAGGCAGTATCGGCTCAATGTGCAGTCCACTGTGCCACCAGGGTTCTTTAAAGCCAAGACAATCAGCTAGGAGACAGGCCCGTTCATTCCTTACCACAAAGCCCCAGCCTGTAACTCCTTGTACTAGCGTCTGGAAAGGGCCTCTGGTGTCAAGGATGGGCCTGGTCCTGCAGCTAACCCCTCCCTGGGCATGGTCTCACCACAGAGGTGAAATCAGAGACGGCTGTGTGGAGAAGGAAGAAGCTCTGGTGGCTCGGTGGTTAAGTGCTGAACTAACTGAAAGGCTCAGTGGTCAGAAGTCACCATTCCCTCTGCAGAATCAAGGTGAGGGGGCAGCCTCTGGATAGACGATAGCTTTGGAGACCCTATGGGGCAGCTCACTCCACCAGACCCACAGGCCATGAGCCAGTGGACCTGGCTTGGTTTGGAGAAGGAAAGCGTCAAGCCAGGACTCAATGACCTTCAGAGCCAATGGCCAAGGAAGCTGAGTCCAATAAGCAGGGTGGGACTCAAACACATGGCCCCAACAAGTCTGCCTTGGAACAAGTGCAGCCAAATGTCCTGAAAAGAGACAAGATTCCATCTCATGTACTTTGGACACATTACGAGGAGGCACCAAGCCTTGGAGAAAGTCAGTGACAAGAGGAAGACCCTCAGCCAAACGGATTGACGCAGTGGCCACCGTGATGCACGCGAGAACGGGTCCAGTTGTGAGGACGGTGCAGCAGTCCGTTCCACTGCGGCACGGCTGTCCCAAGTCAAACCAGATCAATAGTTTCTCTACTGAGGCCAAGACAGACAGCAGACACCAGCGCCATGCACGCAATGAGCATCAGCTTCCAGAACTCAGTCTCAGAAACCCCAAGGTGGGCCAGGTGAAACTCAGAGACTGTCCACCGTGTGCCCGGTCTGTTCAGCTATTAACCTCAAGGCTTAACGTCTCACAGGGTTGGTAAGAGAACCAGTGAGTTCACGTGAATCAGAGTACAACACATAGTACCTCACAGACACAAGATGTTCTCCGTCTAGGAACAGTCCTCCCGAGATGCGCTTTCCCTGACACGTGTGTGCAAAGCTGCACCCAGCCGCCCTCGGCCCACCCTGCACAGCCTCCCTTCCACCACCAGCTGGGTCACATAAAACCGATCAGTGAGTTCTGCTAGAAAAGACATGATTTCTCTTAAAATGTTTCTACCCCGCTCCTCCCAGAGCGAAGCCGATCTCAGGCTTCTGAGGGAACCTTAGATAAAAAGGTGACAGTCCTCAAAGCCAGAGCCCCGCTCACTGGCACAGGATGATTGTAACACTGAGCTCGGAAGTGAACTCAGGGCTCAGGACAGCCACTCACAGGGATCACCCATAATCCTAAAAAAATTCCTCACCAGCCAGAGTTCCTGGAGCTTCCCAAAGAAAAGTGCTGCCTGACAGAAATGCCCCACTCAATGGCCTTGGGGAGTCAGGGGATCCCGGCGGCCCGAGAGTGGTCCTCTGTCATCAGCCGCCAGTGGAGAAGCCGGCCTCCCCCACTCAGCCCTGCCCCACGGGCAGCACAAGTCACCTACCCCAGTTCTTCACAGAAGGTCACCAGGGCGTCGAAGCCTGCGATGGCGGCTTTATCAGATGCTTTGTTTCCTCTCTTTTCCTGGAAACAAGAAATGGCCACTTAGCAAACGTCTTACAAAGCTACAAAAATATGATGCAGGAGAAAACAGGAAAAGGGCCCACAGACGGGCATTCTGAAACCACTGTCTGACTGCTGAGTGAGGCCGAGCGCCCCTTCACTCATTTACCAGCTTCCCCGTCTCGGAAAGGCCCGTCCATGCTTTTGGCTATATGGCGGGGTACCTTTTTGTCATCTGTAAGGGTTGTCCACGCGTCCAGTCAACTGCATATATTACAAGAAGCTCCCCGAGTTGTGGCTCGTTTCCCCCCCATTTGCTTAGGGTGTCTCTCACATAGAAATTTTAGATTTACTCTAGTCAAACAAATCATGTCTCCCTTTACGGTTCCTGCTTTTAAAATCTTGACGCATGCCTCCCTTTCTCAGGATCACAAAATATTTTCCTCCTAAATTTTTCCTTTTTCATAATTAGTCTAGGGAGCTCTGGTAGCTTAGTGGTAAGGAGGTGTGCTGCCAACCCAAAGGCATGTGCTTCGAATCCACCAGCCGCTGTGCATGAGAAAGATGGGCCGTCTCCTGCTGTGATGACCTGTCGCTGCAAACCTGCTGGAGGCGGCTGTTCCAACTCAATGGTGCACACAACAACAACAACAACAACAATAATCTACGCTGGGATTAGCTATCCGTGTATGACATGAGGCAGGGACCTAATGTCTCTTTTTCAGCACAAATTCTTCAATCATTTATCCTTTCCCTACTGACTTGTAATGCTATCTACTATATGCCAAATTCTCTAATACATTTTGGTCTGTTTTAGGTTCTTTACAAAGAAAGTATAGGAAGCTCTGGGGACACAATCCCCAGTGAGTGGCACTGCCAACCCAAGCTAGCACCCCTCTCGAGTGTGAGTCCACCACTGGTGCAGAGGGAGGAAGTCAGGCCATTTCCACCCAAGCTTGTTTCAGTCTCAAAAACCCTGTTGGAGGCTCTCAGCTGGGTCGGTTCTGACTTGACAGTAATGAGATTTTCTTTTTTTTTTTGTTGAAAGACTACGAAACTATTGAAAAATAATTGGCCACAGGGGGGAAAAAAGTATATAACAATACAGGAAAATGCTTTCACAACAATTCTAATTAACACAAGGCAGAATTAATCTCAATTACATGAACAAAATATCATGTTAAGAAAACATTTCTTGGCAAGTTCTGGTGGCCTAGTGACAAGAAGCTGCACTGCAATTCCAGAGGTGAGCGGTTCAAATCCACCAGATGCTCTGCTGGAGAAGGAGGGACAATCTCCTCCTGTACCAGTCAGATCCGATTTGACGGTATATGCCCAAAAAATAATAAAAAGAAAACATTTCTTACCTAGCTGTTGCAAGTTGTCTACCTACCCAGAACACTATTTCTCTCCACACTAAACACACAGTAAAAAGCTTTGGTGGCACAGAGGTTAAAGCAAGCTAGTCAAAGCATGCAGGTTAAAGCACGCTAAGCAAAAGTTGAGCTGAAAGGGTCTGCAGGCAGCGCTGACAAAAATCTGTTCCTGTAAAGAGCTGCAGCCTTGGGAACTCTACAGCGCAGTTCTATTCTGTCCCACATGGTCCAAATGGGTCAGAATGGACTTACTGACAATGAGGTTTACTATTATGGGTTTTTTCAAACACATAATGACACCTTCGTCACACTTTTCTAGGTCCTGGAAGACCAGTCTCCTCCCTCTCAGCCTAGAGCTCCTGGGCTCAAAAATAACCTGTGTGAAATTAGGAGCATGGTCTAGGTTGGAAGGGACTCACCTTCCAAGGCTTACCTGGAGTTTTGCTATTTCCTTCCTGATCAAGAAGTTGACTTGGTCCCGGTCATTCCTGGAGTAATAGAGACGGCACCAGGCAGGCTTCCCATCCCTGCCGGCCCGGCCAGACTCCTGGTAGTACCCCGCCATCGACTTGGCAATATTCCAGTGGGCAACAAACCTGCAGGGCCCAAGAACAAGCCGCCTGAGACACAGGAGAGTGAGGGGAGGGTTGGTCTTGCCTCCGCTCCGAGGGACCGTCTCACAGCACCCAGAGGCGGGTGGCCGGCAGGTCTCAATCTGGTCAGGACAATGCAGCCCGAAAGCAGGCTCCCTTACCACAGAACAGCCGTATTTACCACAGTGGGTGGTAAAGGGCCAATTACAACATGCATGTGGAACCTCAGAAAATACAGAGCCCAAGCGGAAGAATACTTCAGGGAACAAGATTAGGCTCTGCTCTTTATGAGCTGTACAACCTTGAGGAAGTTATTGAACTTCTTGGCAAAGGAAAATGCTTAATAACCAAACTGACGCCAAATCAGAGACCCCACACACGCAGGTCAGTGCTGGGTCACTTTATCAATTTGTCTCATTTAATCATGACAAACACTACCATGTGATTTCATTGATGACCTTGTTGTAACTCAGGGAAATTTGTACACGGTCACACAGATAGGGGCCTGCAGGGCCATGATTTGAGCCTAGCATCTCCTAATAAGACACAGCAGATCGAGGGTTTAAACTCTAACATCTATATTCATCCCAATACGGCCCAGAGCTGTGTGACCTCGGGCGGGCACTTCTGGGTAACTCAAAGACTATGACGTGGATACCCTGCATGCCAAAGTGCTGGTGGCACAATGTGTTAAGTGTTAACCCAAAGGTTCATGGTTTGAACCCACCAGCCGCTCGGCAGGATGTGCTCCCATTGAGATTTACAGCCTCAGAAGTCTATCAGGACAGCTTTCCTCTGTCCTCCAGGGTTGCCCTGAGTCTGAACTGGCTGAATGGTGGTGAGGGAAACCACACACAGTGTTACAACCAGTGTTAATCCGAGTAAGGAGCCGAGGCTATGGTTAGTCTCCCAAGGGCCAGGTCTGTGGTTGGCTGGAGGTCAAAGACTTCCCAGCAGGTGTGAGGGTGGGGAGAGAAGGCTGGGGTGCCCATTCCTTGCAGTCTGTCAGTAAATGGAAACGCGGAATGATGGTTCTTAGGTCTCCTCCTACACGAACTGATGTGAAGCAGTCACTTCCTTCCAGCCAGCCAACTGGGCACTGTCTGCTAACACACTCAGAGGGGCTGTGGCAATGCACGAGGCTGGTCTTGGAGCACTGGGGGCTGGGGGTTTTGGCAGCAGAACCACACTGTGCAGAGGTGTCTGGGAGCAGGTGCATAGGTGCCAGCGCTCACCTATGTCCTAGGGACCCATGACCTGGGGCCTTTTCCCTGGATTCTGGAAGGCACACACGGGTCTGCCCGTAACAGGAGGGACCACTGCTTACCTGACATTGGCTTTGTCCACGCCCATCCCGAAACTGATGGTGGCAACAATCACAGGGACCTTCTCCTCCATCCACTCATTCTGCACCAGTGTTCTATCAGGAGCCTTCAGCCCTGCAAAGGGGAGGATGGTGGAGATGGAATTTGCCTTAGGGGTGTACATTATGCGGGGTACTTCACACCCCCTCAATCTCTCCTTATCAGCTGCGTGGCTTAGAGCTGGGCACTGCCCCTTACTGAGCCTCATCTAATAAACACAGGACATTTGCAACATGTGGTGCTGAGTGTTCAACTCCCACAGGCCAGCCAGCAATGCCATCCTGACCCTCAAACCTCTCAGAGAGAGGTACACTTGTACCAGACACTGCCAGTCCAGTTCCAAATCACAGCAATAAAGCACACAAAATGAGCCATGTGATGTTTCTGGCTTCCCAATGCGTGTAAAGTTATGTCTACACTGTACTACTGATGTCTACTCAGCAAGAAACAGTGTTGTGAACAAGTCTAGAATAACAGGACAACGACCACAATGGGACATAGAGACACGAAATGAGAACAGTGTCGTCGGAAAAGCAGCATCGATAGACTTGACCAATGCAGGGTTGAAATCAATTGAAGCAACAGAGCTTCAATTTAGAAGGAAAAATAGAGAAATATCTTCAAAGTGTAATAAAGCAAGTGTGAATATTACCCTGCCCCTCCCACCCCATCTTACAGACAAAGCGGTCAGTCCACTAGTCATGGCATGGCCAGGATTTGAGTCCTAGTCTTTGGGCCTCCAAAGCCTGTGCTCTTTCCACAGCACCAGGACCCAGGTTTACGAAAACTCATCATCAAACATGACCACGACCCATGGAAGAGCCTCTGGAGCCGGTAAACTAACAAGGCCCACAGACCACTGCTGGGTGGTGCGGGCACTGCTGGCCTCTCCACAGGCTGAAGGCAGCGTCCATGCTATTCCAGCTCAGACCATCTTCCCTAAACTCAGGCTGCACATGGTGGTTTTAAAAATGTGTCTATCCTTTATGGGACATCAAGCTTCTGTTAGACGTGCTGGGAAAATTCAAGAACGGTTAATGGCAATGGTTAAACACCATGTTGAATATATTTAATGTCACTGAATCGTACATGTGAAGATGGTGGAAACAGCAAATGTTTCACTGCATGTCTGTCACAGTTTGTGGGGAGGAAGGTGTAGAAACAAAAACCAGACCTCACCACCCCCGCTAGGGTGAGCAGGATGAGGAAAAACGTAGAAGTTTAATTCTCACGGGAGACCCATCCTCACCTAGCTCCTTCTAGCGGCTTCACGTGAATCCGACCACCCAACCACTAGGACCCCCAGTCAGCCGTCCTGGCTAGGCGCTAGGAGGCCTTCAGGAATGAAGAGGCTCCAGGCCCGGGCGGTCCTCACCTGCGTGGTAAGCCTTGGCATTCACGCCCCGGTAACTGAGCTCAATCGCCAGCTGTTCACAAGCCTCTCTGGTCCTGCAGTACACGATGCCGCAGCCTGAACTCTGGTGGGAAAAACGGAAGATGAGCATTGGGATGGTGGAAAAAGAGAAGCTGGCTGTCACCCCTGAGTCAATCCCAACTCACGGCATCACCACATAACAGAACAGAACGGCCCAGAGGCTCTCAGGCTGCAAATCCTTCCAAAAGCTGATTGCCCTGTCTGGCTCCCACAAAGCTGCTGATGGGTTCGAACTATCGACCTTTCAGCAACTGCTGAACCTGACAGGGCTCCTCGTTTAAGCGTTGTCTGCCTGAGCAGACACCATTCCCTCTTCCACTGGTTAGCCTCAGGACCACTCTCAGCACCACAAGGCAGGGTCAAAGCAGCTGGTGCCACCTATCAGCTTCTCTGCCTCCTCCCCAAAACCCTGATGCCAGTGTGCAAAGGTCTCACCGGTGGGTCAGTTTGCCTCCCACAGAAGGATCCAAGACCAGGCACCTCAGCAAGGGAACAACGGCAGGACACAGAGGGAACAAGTCCCTTTGTGCAAGAATCCAGAGAAAAGGTCTCAAGGGACCAACACCCACTTCCATGCTGCTAGACAACACCCTGCTGTTCTTGACGCCCTCCGGCCCCCCACCTCAGCGCCTCACCCCCTTATCAGCCTTCTGTCTGAGAGCCTTGAGGCAGAATTCCTTCAGGTCCTCGTAGGGGTTGGAAAGCAGCTCCTTAAACTGCACGTCATAGAAGAGGTTGGCCCGGAAGCAGGGCGTCTTGAAGGTGGCCACTGGCGGCTTCAGGTGCAGGGCAGCAAACACATCCTCCTGGACCTGTGGGGTGGCTGTGGCGGTGAGGGCCACACACGGGGTGGCTGACAGGCGGGAGCGCAGGGCCCCCAGACGCAAGTAGTCAGGGCGGAAGTCATGCCCCCACTGGGAAACGCAGTGTGCTTCGTCCACCACGAGGCAGGAGAGCAGGTGCCGGGACACCAGGGAGTTGAGGGTGGGCTGGAAGGAGGCCGAGGCGGCCATCTCTGGGGTGATGTACAGAAGCTTGGTCTCGGGTTTTTCTCGCTCCAGGTCCGAAAGCAGCTCCTTCTTCTCCTGTGCTGACAGCTTCGAGTTCAGAGAGCCCACTCGGACCTTCAGGGCCAGCAAGTGGTCCACCTGGTCCTGAGGGAGGAAGGAAGAAGTGCGACAGGTCACAAAGGGAAGGGTGACTGGCAACCAACCCTTGGACTCAGTGGCAGAAGTCACAGGCTTCGAGGGGACTTTCTCTATTCTAAAATGTTCCCCTACTCACGCACTCCTGGCTTATGTAACTGCCACATGCACGTTTGCTGGCTCCACCCTTGTGATACATAGGTATTACGATTATTAAGATATTATTATGATATTAAGATTAATAGTTAACCAAAAGGTTGGTAGTTCAAACCCACTAGCTGCTCCACGGGAGAAGGCAGAGGCAGAGTGCTCCCATAAAGATTTTTTAAATTGTTTATTTTCTATAGGGGATACCGCACACACAGCCCCCACTACCTCAATTTATGCAGTTGAGTTTCCCGCATTTGGGGAAGTTGCAGGGGCCAGCACAGCCAGAGTGAATGGTGAGCCTCACCCTGGGAAAACCACCTTCTTGGTGCTGGTATTTCCTCTGCCAGGTAAGTATCGCCATAAAGATTCACAGACTCAGAAGCCCTGTCGTCAGTTCTACCCCGTCGTAAGGGGCTGCTGTGAGTCTGAATGAACTTGAACGCAACGGGCTTCTCAAAGCTCTAAGAGGAGCTCTGCTGGGCCAGCAGTTAGGCACTCAGCTGCTAACTTGAACCTGAAGCCCACGGTTCAAGTTCACAAGCAGCTTCACAGGAAAAATGATCTGACACTCTGTTCCGGTAAAAATTACCATCTCCAAAACAGTACCTTTCTAAGGAACTGGGAAAGGTAGGTCAGCAAGAGAGAGGAAGACCTTCAACGAGATGGACTGACACAGCGAGTACACCAGTGGACTCAAGCATGGAGATCATGGTGACAGCACAGGACAGGGCACGCTTCAGATCTGATGCTATGAGTCGCAGCCAACTTGATGGCACCTAACAACAGGACACCCTACGGGGCAGTTCTGCTCTGTCATATGGGGTCACTCTGAGTAGGGATCAACTTGACAGCACACAACAGCAGGCACCCACTGAGACTTGGTCTTCTCATACTCTCACTTTTTCCACAGAGGATTTTATCAATCACCAGTCAAATACTATTATAAATACTATAAAGATGAAATGAAGTCATTTCACCAAGCACTTAGTACAGAGACCAAGAACTGGTAAACACCAAGTACTGTCCTTTTACCCTTGCCCCCATATCCTCACCCTAATGATCACTGGCCCTGAACCAAATACTTCCTCAGCTCTAACCCCGCCTGCCCACCTGCAGGTCTTAAATAGAAGTCGGAAATTCAGAGCAGATATTGCCAAGGTCCCATATGCCCTGCTTCTGTCTCACATTCTCATGCGCTTTCCAGAAGAAAGCCAGGTATGAGGGACTCCCTACCATTTGAACTAGCTATCCACATCTATCAGCAATCTCCCATCTCCAGTGTCATGAACACACATGTGTATATATGTATCTGTAGAGATACTGTTCCATCTTTCTCTGGACAAAGAAGTAACAAAGGTGAGCGAGGGATCTCAGGCCACAGTAACCTACAAGATTCATTCAGAACACATTCAAGTGACAGGCATTGGTGGAGAACTTTACAATTACATTGGCAGCACAATACCCCATGGACTAGGCCACCAGAGCGCCTTACGACTCCACATCTGGGCAATTAAGAAAGCCAATGCCGAGAGTGAAATCGGCAAACCACAGACAATAAGAGACAACAGTTAGAATCAAGGAGAAGTGAAACTGCCAGCTACAAAGAGCCTCCCCCCAGTCCTTTTTGGTTACCACCTCCATGCCCCTAAGCCTCACCTGAATCAGAGCAATGAGAGGAGAAACCACGATGGTGATGCCTGCGCCCAGCAAGGCCGGGAGCTGATAGCAGAGGGATTTTCCTGCCCCTGTAGGCATGCACACAAAGACGTCCTTGTCCCCTGCAAAAAAAAAAAGAAACATAAAACAACCACAAGGCAGCAATATTACAATGCTTCCTGCTCTTTCAATACCTCGGTTGTTTTAAAATAAAGAGAATGGGGGCGTCTGGCATGTGAGAGGGTCAGAGAGTAAGAATCTTCTTGCTCTGTTTTGCGAGATTTTGGATGTACACAGTTTTAACACGCAGTCATCTCTTGCAATGGCAATAACTAGGAGGGGAAGAAATTGTGAAGCTGCTGGGAAATGGATGACTGAACCAAATAGCCACGAAAACAGCATACTGTTTGATAAATGAGCTGCCAGTGTTGACAGGGATACAGGATACATTATTGAGAGGTCTTTCATTCAGAAATGTTATACTGTTGTTGTCATATACTGTCAAGTGGGAAGTGACTCATAGTGGACTCTCCAGAAGGTTTTCAGAGGCAGCAAATAACCGTGTTGTCCACTTTTCTCCCGTGGAGCAGCTGGTGGACTTGAATCGCAGCCCTTTGGGCTGGCAGTGCAACTCTTTACCATTAAGTCACCCTTCATTTAGAAATTTATGCCCAAGAAGCTCTGGTGGCCTAGTGGCAAGAAGCTGCGCTGCAATTCCGAAGGCACGCTGTTCAAATCCACCAGATGCTCAGCTGTAGGAGAGGCAATCTCCTCTGTGCCAGTCGGATCTGATTTGACAGTACACAACAAGAAAAAAAAAAGTATATATATGCCCAATATTAACACCATGAGCCCTGGTGGTACAATGGTTTGGCACTTGGCTGTTCACCAGAAGGCTGGCAGTTTGAGCCCATTCAGTCACTCCACAGGAAAAAAAAAGACCTGGCCATCTACTCTGGCCAAGATTACAGCTAGGAAACCCCATGGGGCAGTTCTACTGTCTGGTGGGGTCACTAGGCATCGGAATTGACTCAGTGGCACATACATTAACATTGAATTTCCCCTCCTGACAACTTCCACTTGTCACCATGTGTCCAATTCATACTATTATTATTACTCTTTTTTCCCATCTGGAACACAGTCCATTCAATCTTCAGCGAGGGAATTACCCAGACCAGTGACAGAAATGGGCTAGTCCAGCTACCACTACTACTGCGTATATACAAATAAACAATGGACATCTAAAAACTATTTCTGGAGACACTCTGTAGCTCTGTCTACAAAATGTTAACACCTAGGTGGTTAATGGAACACTATTAAAGCTGCCTGCCCTGGTGACAAGGTTACATGATTTCCAATCCAGTTATGAAGCACTGTGGGAAGGCAGACTGTGGCGGGGGAGGGTGGTTTTCACAGTGTTATATATAGGACAGCCAGCATAAATTCAAACATTGGTAGTTGGCAGAATTACCTTTTATTACAGCCATGGTCGCACTCTCTTGTAAAGGTGTCTTAAAAGAATCAAACCCAAAGACCTTCTTCAACGTGCTGCGGGCTCGACGTTCAGACCCAAAGGGTAAAGAGGAAGAGTGGGAGCTCATCTTAGCGAAAAGACAGTGTCTAAAGGTTAAGGCAAAAGTGATGAGCATTATGATTGCCCCAAGAACCCCCCTGAATGCTTGAAATACATAATCTATGCTTTCTGAATATAAATGTGCATAATTACACTCAAGTATGGAGCCCTCACTTCACAGTGGTTAAAGATCTAAACTTCTAAGCCAAAGGATGGCAGTTTGTACCCACCAGCCATTCAACAGGAAGATGTGCTGTCTGCTTCCCTAAGGGTTTAAGACTAGTAACCCTGTGGGTAAGATCTACTCTGTCCTACAGGGCTATTATGAGCTAGACTCCAATCCAATGAGCAAGTTTACACTCAAGCAATGTATTGAAGCGAGACTGTTCTTGTGTGCCCTCAGTCGACGGCAACCCTTAACGACCCTATGAACAACGCATGTGAACCCTGCCCTCTCCTGTGCCATCCTATCTCTGGCATACTTCAGCTCATCGCTACCAATGAATATCTTTGAGTAATCAGCATCTTTGCTTCTGCGGTCACTGACTACAAAATTAACTGAATCATTCTAAGTCATAGGAGGAAACACAAATGTCTTCAGAATAGTTTGGAGAATATGGAATTGTCTTTCTAAGCCACATATTCCGTTCCTCCTTTGAATAACACAACACGAAGACTATTCTCCTGCCCGGGACTTTTAACTCCTTCCTCCCAGCCCTCGAAGCAGCTCCCTTCCCTCTGCGTCTTGGGAGCCTCGGAAGCGCTCTTTCCCCCTTTCTCCAACAGGAGTCCCCTTCCCCTCACCCTACGACAGCAGGGCCGGCCGCGGGCCGCCAGGGACCGAAGGCGCTCGCTGCTGCCCTGACTCGGGAACTACTCGGAGAACCCCATCGATCCCCAGCCCAACTCTGAGATGCCAAAGAAAAATCAATCAGCTCGAGTCCCGGCAGGAACCCAGACAGCTTTACGGTCGTCGCACTGCAGTGACGTAAGGTGAGCTCACGCGGGGGGCGGGGCCATGTGCAGAGACGACCGTTTTGATTGGTTCTCGGTCGGCAGCCCGCGCGAGGTCTCCTGGGACCCGGAAGAGGTCGCCTTTCGAGTCGCCTTTCTGCTGCGAAGTCGTCGCCTCTTGAGTCATCGAAGTGAGCCGCGCTGGGTCTGTCCGAGTAAGATGGCGGGGAAAAAGAGTGTCCTGTCGTCTCTGGCAGTTTATGCGGAGGATTCAGAGCCCGAGTCTGACGGCGAAGGTGGAGTCGAAACAGCGGGCGGCGCGGCTGGTGAGACCGAGTGAGGAGTTGGAGGGGGAGGATCGGATCGGGTGTCTTCTCGGGAGGATGCTGTCCTAGCCGAGTGAGACGGGGGAGAGAATGGTCTTTGTGTGCTAGTGTCGGGATCCGGAGCGCCCCGCCGGGGACCAGATCGTGGGCAGGACAAAGTGTCAGAGGGTGTGTGTATCGAAAGTGGGCAGTCTCCTCGTTTATACCGATGCTCTGCCGAAACGTATTTAAGGTCTTCCCTGTGCTGGGCAGCTCACTGCACAGGAGGGTGTGCAGAGTGGGAGAGGGATCCAAGGCAACTGAACCACTGTTTCCACCGGGGTTGTCATTTGATGGGATAAAAGTGTGAGTAACATACGTTGCTGTTGCTGTGTACCGTAGAGTCGGAACCGACACGTAGCCGACCTTCAGCTGGTTTTCAGAGACTCTACCGCAGGGGAGGTGATTGCCCACATCTGTCTCCCGTGGAGCAGCTGGTGGATTTGAACCATTTAACTTTACGTCGGCAGTTCAGTTCTTTACCACTAAAGTTTATGTTTTATGAAATTTGTAACTTTACTTAGGAATGTGTTCCAGTTGCGTCTTGGAGCTTTAAGAACACATAGACCTGGCTCCATTGCAGTGAGTCTAATTCTTTAACTAGGGGAAGGTCTGGGAATTTGTGATTCCCTTGTTTTGTGAGTCTTGTGTAGCCCATCAACAATTTTGTGGCTCTGCCTAAGCTGAGAATCACAGTGTTAGAAGATGAGAACAGACTTTTCTGATTGGAGAGTTGGCTAGAGAACTAGTTGCCTGATATGTCTGGTCTTTAGTTGTTGGAGTTGTTACAAGTTGTTGAGTCACCTGCGACCCTGTGTCCAGTAGCTCTGAACACTGCCCTGTTCTAAGCCAGTCTCGCTGTCTCTGACACACGGACCTCTATCACCCTAGTTACTGTGTCAGTCTATTTCTTCTGGGATCTTCTTCTCTTGCACTGTCCCTCGACCCTTCCAAGCATGATGTTCTTCTCCAAGGACTTGTCCCTCCTGGCAACATACCCAAAGTGTATGAGATGAAGCTTCAAATTCCTCACCTTTAAGGAGCAGTTTGGTTTCACCCTCTCTAAGACAGACCTGTTAGTTTTCTTGGCAGTCCGTGCTATGTTCAGTATTATTCTCTAGCATCATTCTTAAAGGCATCTATTCTTCTTCAGTCATCATTAGTCATTGTCCAGCTCTCTGATGCATAGCAAGTAATTGTGAAGACCACGGCCTGAATCAGGCGCACCTTAGTCTCTATAGACTGACATCGTTGCTCTTTAGCACTTTGGAAGGGTCCCTGACAGCACATTCCCCTAATGCAGTTTGGTTTTTTATTTTCTGATTGCTGGTGCCAAGAGTGTTGATTGTGGAGCCAAGCAAGCTGAAAGTGTTAACAGTCTCAATATCTTCTCCATCTATCAGGTGCTTCCAGTTGACCCAGTAGTGAGAATCTTGGTCTTCTTCAAGCTGAGCATCAGTCCATATTGAAGACTATAGTCCTTGACCCTCTGCTCTGCAGCAAATGCTTCAGGTCCTCCTCAGTTTCGGCTAGCAAGGCTGTGTTGTTTGCATAATGCCGGTTGTTCATGAAGCTTCCTCCAGTCCTGATGCTACATTTCTCTTCATAAAGTCCAGCTTTCTGAATGATCTGTTCCACGTATAGAATGAAAAGGTATGGAGACAGGATGCATCCCTTACACGCTCCTTCCCCGATTTTGAACCATGCAGTGTTTCCTTACTCTGTTTGGATGACTGGTGCCTGGTCTGGGCACCATCAAGTGTTCTGGGATTCCCATTCTTCTCAAGGTTAGCACAGTCAAATAACTTTGCGTAGTCAATGAGATAGACACTCCTCTGCTACTCTCTGCTTTCAGTCATGATCCAACATGGCAATAATGTCTCTAGTGCCACAGTCTCTTCTAAACCCAGCTTGTATTTTTAGTAGTTCTTTGTCGAGGTTCCAAGTCACTTTTGGATAATCTTCAGCACGGTTTAGCTTGCGTGTGATAGTTAGTGATAATGTTCAGTAATTTCCATTCTCTGTCAGGTCACCTTTTTTTGGAATGGAATAAATATGGATCTCTTCCAGGCAGTTGGCCAGGTAGTTGTCTTCCAAATTTCTCACCGCAGCGTGGTGAACATGTCCAGGGCAGCATCTGTTTGATGAAATATATCAGTTGGTTGGCAGAGGGGAGGGAGGTACCAGCCAGGCTAGGAGAAGGTAGAAGGGGATGCAGGTGGAGCAGGGGGAGGGATGGGAATACGGCACATGTGCCGCAGTGGATGACTGACACGGAGTCTGTTGGTTACTTCTGGAATGGGGACGTGTCTTTCATCAGCTCCCACCTGGAGAATGAGTAGGGTTGAAGTAAATCGTTGGTTTCTGTGGAGTGAAATTAAACATTGCCCAGTCCTGAGGCGTTTTCATGGTCCTTGATGTGTTTGGGCCTGCTCTGAAATAGGTATGGTCCTCACACATTTTACTGAAGTTTATTACTGGTTTCCCAGTAATGTGTAGGAGTTTTCTTTTGCATTAAACATAGACCTTACATCTCAAAGAGGTGTGATTGGGAACTCCTTGGAATGTTCCATGATCAAGATTCTCTTCCTGGGGAGGACACACAGAAATGAGGGAGATAGCCTGTTTGTGGTATAAGAGAAAACAAATTCACAGGTGATGGATGACACACAGTTGAGATGTGTGTGCTAAACAAGTGTCCCAGCAACGCGCTGTAATAGTTCAGAGAGGGGAAGATGTCAGCTGGCGTACGTACGTGATGGGCTAAGCATTAGAAGCATCTATGTCTATACTTGGTTTTTCTCCTCTGTTCTTCATTTCTTGATCTCATCCACTAAATTATGTCCTTCTCAAGGACAGAATCTAGGCCTAGTTACATGAGATTTACCACCACCCACTGCTAACAGGAAGCTCTGGTGGCCTAGTGGTAAGGAGCTGCATTGCCAGTCTAAAGGCAAACAATTCAAATCCACCAGCTGTTCTGCAGGAGAAAGATGAGAAATCTCCCATGTGATTTACTGCCTCTGAAAGCCCACTGGAGGCTCAGCTGTGGGTCTGTTCTGACTCGACTGTAGACAGCAACAACCCACTGCTGTCAGATCGTTTCTGACTCTGAGTTGTGGTGATTCTCCATCAGGTTCCTACACTAAATCCTGGTGGGGAGGACACTGCCCACTTCCTGTCGTGGAGCGGCTGGCTGATTTAGACTGTGGACTCTTCAGTTTGTAGCTTGATACCATACATAGTACGTTCCTAGGATTCCATTACTATGCAATTTAGTCTCCCCTCTTGTCATCAGTAAGCAGTCTAATTAATATCACATGCAAGTAAACTTGCTTACGTTTATCCAGAAAACAGCAAGAACACGACATCAATGGAGAACTGGCAGAGAAGTACAAGCTGGCTTTAGAAGAAGCCATGGCACCAGGGATATTATTGATCTCAGGTGAATCTTGGGTGAAAGTAGAGAATACCAGAAGGATGTCTGTGTTTTATTGACAATGTAAAGTGGATTATAGAGCATTACGGCTCACGCTGGGGGGATGGGACTCCCAGAACAATCGTGCTCCGGAGAAAGCTGCACCCACACAAGCATCTGTTGTGTGAACAGAGCACGGGAACACTGCATGGTTTGAAATCAAGCAAGCTTTGTGTCAGGGCGCTTGCCTTTCTTCACACTTGTTCAGTCTAGATGCTGAGCAAATCATTTGAGAAGCTGCACTTTGTGAAGAAGAATGTGGCATTGGGATCAGAGGAAGACTCGTCAGCAATGTGCATTAGGCAGATTACACAACCTTGCTCGCTGAAAGTTAAGAGGACTTGAAATAATAACTTGCTACAGAAAATCAAGGACTGCAGCTTCCCATATGGATTACATCAAGAAAACGAAAAAGAAAGGAAAAAACCGATCACCGCTGGGCCAGTAGACAGCATGTTGTTGTTACGTGCCAGCGAGTCAGAACTGACCCTCCGTGAGTTTTCAAGTGGTGTTTGGCATTGGCAGATCTGGTTCCATGTGAATGAGGGACTCACATGATTCACATGCTTCCTCAGAATTCCTGAATCTGATTGGCTTCATGTCCAGATGAGATCTTGGGAGCATTAGTGCCATTCCACAAATTTCTCTGGAAAATACCCTTTCCAGCTAGATGGTTGAAGCAGCATCCATCTGCAGTGAAAGTTCCAGCTGGCAAGCATGTCCTTGTCAAGTACCCCAGACACTGTCTCAGACAGCAGCTCAGGAACTCTGGGAGTTGGCTGAGCAGAAAGTGGTGGACTGGAATCTTGGAGGATGAGGACCATATTTCCCTCTGAAACTCGAGCAGCTAAAGTGTGCCTGGAAGCTTCAGTAGATGGTTGTTGAGTAAAATGTAGATGAATGAATGCAAACGTGAAAGAGGTTTGGGAAACTTAATTAAAAACAAAATCGAATGAGCAAATGTGCTGCAAAAGACCCCTTTGAATGTTAAAGAGCAAGAAAGTGACTCTGAAGATAGTTGTATTTGATCCAGGCTGTAGTATTTTTAATAGCATCAAATGTATGTGAACGTTGGACAGTAAATAATAAACCAAACAGAAGCAATACCTTTGAGTTGGGATTCTGGTAAAGGCTATTGAATGTACTCTGTTGTTGTGTATTATAAACTGCCAAAACACCACGTCTGTCTTGAATCCAGAGTGTTCCTCAGAATGAGGATGGTGAGGTCTCATGTACTTGGGCATCTGTTCAGAGGGACCATATCTGGAGAAGGACATCGTGTTTGATAGAATAGAGGGTCGGCAAAGCAGTGGGAGACGTTCAGTGAGATGCGTTGACACAGTGACTGAGACAGTGGGCTGAGCACGGCTCGGGTTTTGAAGGTGGACCGGGCTCTGTTTTGTTCTGTTACACAGAGTTGCCGTGACGTGGAGCTAACTGTGTGAGTCCCGGCAGCATTGTCTTCCGACGTAGTCACTGAAGGAGCATCTCGCATTCTTTGCTCAGTCGTTTTTCTTTTCACTCTCTTTCAGAGGAGAAAGGCGGGTTGGTGTCTGAAGCTTATGGAGATGATGACTTTTCTCGCCTTGGAGGTGATGAAGATGGCTTTGAAGAAGAGGATGATGAGAACAGCAGGCAGTCGGTAGGTAAATCTGCCACACCCACAGCTTCTCACAGCACCTTTCGGTTTGTGGGAAAACTCCGAGCTTTACTCACAGTTCATTCCTCCACCCTTAATCTCTACCCACATGCTTAGGTTTTGGTCTCAGTTGAAGAAATTAGATTACATGTCAGCACTGTTTGAGAATCAAATGCATTTTTGCTTTGTTTCCTATTCATCTTTTAATTGCCGTTTAGGGGAAAAGGTGTAGACTTTAGCCAGATGTCACCGAATGTTCTATGTTGGTTTTCCCTGTTTAGATAATTCATTTGATGCAGTGCATTTATCCTAATTGAGAATTCATTTATATCTGAAATCAGTCGCAAAGTTGTATTGTGATGGGAAAGTCTGCTGTTAGGGACCTCTCCAAAGTAGTGAAGAGCAGTGGTGTCACTCTGGAGACCAAGGTGTGTCTGATACAGGCCATGGTCTTTGCAGTCACTTGTTATGCGTCAGAGAGTTGGACAGTGACCAGGGAGGATAGAAGGAGAATTGATGCCTTTGAGCTGTGGTGCTGGAGAAGAGTATTGAGAATACCATGGACTGCTAGGAAAAGATTGAACCTGGAGAAGGCTAAACCGGGCTGCAATATAGGCCTGAATTGAGCGTTTTGAAGATCAAGATCATCTCAGCCTGGTGTTAAGTAATAAGACACACATAACTGTTGAATCTAGGTTTAAAATATGGTTGCTTAACAACAGCTTTCATTGGAAGTTATTCTTTGTTGGGAAAATACTGTTATTTAAGTTTTATTTTTTGTATTTTCTGTTCTTTTGAGACATTATGGTGATGATTCAGAATTTACTGCAATTGTTTAGAAACACTGCCCAAGTTTTTTCTTCCAGTTTTTCTCAAGATGTACAAGTTGTTAAAATACCTGTGATAAATCCCTATATTGTATGCTTTTAGAATGTTGCTCTATGCCATCTTATTTAAACTTTATTTCATATTTTAGCAGAATCCTCTCATAAGATCCAAATACAGATATACTAATATTTATTAAGCCAAACTCCATGAGATTATAGAGATTATGAGCAAAACCTTTGGTTCACAACACCTTGAATGACAGTCTTAAAAGCTTACCAGTAGGGGAGCTCTGGTGGCCTAGTGGCAAGGAGCTGCAACTACAATCCCAGAGGCGCACGGTTCGAATCCACCAGATGTTCTGCCGGGGAAGGAGGGACAGTCTCCTCCTGTACTTGTCAGATCTGATGTGACGGTACACTCACACAAAAATAATTAAAAAAAAAAAGCTTACCAGTATAATCCATTCAGGTTTCTTATGTGACGTTGATGGTAGTAGCTGGACTAGTAGTATTATTTGGATTAAAGTGTAGCTCAGTTCAAACGAAACGCCCCCTCAAGTGTTTAGCTAAAGGCTTCTAGGCAGTAGAGGTGTTCTAAGTAGCCAAAGTGGACAGAGACTTAGCCAGCTGTCAGGTGGCTGGTCCAGCTTCTGCTCTTGGATTTGGGTGTCTGTAGCATTGATTTAGTCATCTGTGGCCCATCCTCGTGGTGCATCTATTAAAGCACTCTGCTGTTAGCCAAAAGATCAGCAGCTTGAACCCACTAACGGCTCTATGTTTTGGGTTTGTTTGGGTTTTATCCTCCAGTTCTCTCAGCTTGAGAAACACTGAGCTGATTCTTCCCTTTTTATTCACTGTCTCTCAAACAGATTCATCCTGGAAAGGGTCAAACTGGGCTGCTCCTTGGAGGCAAGGATTCTAAGGCTCCGTCTAACATACTTTAGACGTGTTGCAAGGAGGGACAAGTCCTTGGAGGAGGGACATCATGCTTGGGAGGGTGGAGGGACAGCGCAGAAGGGGAAGGCCCCCTATGAGGTGGATTGATTCAGTGATTGAGGTAATCGGGATGGGTGTGTCAGAGATGGTGCGACTGGCACAGGACAGAGCAAAGTTTAAGGCTGTTGTACATAGGGTCGCTATGAGTCGCAAGCGACTTGACGGCACATAACAATAACCAGCTCTTTGTACAATCTAATACTTGGTCTTCTCAAGCTGCCCTTTGAAATGTTCTGTTCATCTCTTTTACCTCTGCATTTCTTCCCATTGTTTTGGCTTCTCAGTGCTGTGGCGCAGTTTTCAGTCTTTCCTGACTTTCATTTTAGTCTCTTCTTTTTCTCTGTAACCACACTTGCTCTCTTTATGGATAATGTCTTTGATGTCATCCCACTATCATCCGGCCTTTGATCATTTATGTTCAGTGCTTCAAGCCTATTCTTGAGATGATTTTTAAGTTCAGGTGGGATAGACTCAAGGTCATATTTAGGTTCTTGGGGACTTGTTTCAATTTTCTTCAGCTTCAGTTTGAACTTGCACGTAAGTCTGTTCCGCAGTCAGCACCTGGCCTGGTTTTGATTGCTGATATTGAGCTCCTCCAGGGGTTCCTTCCACAGGAGTAGTCAGTCTGATTGCTGTGTGGCCCATCCGGTGAGGACCCTGTTACACTCACCCCGGTGGGGCAGAACAACAGGCTGCCCCCTGGGGAAGGTGAGGCAGTCTGCATGCATCAGGATTACAGCCTGGACGTCCTGTGGAGCAGTCCTCTGTCCTGTGGGGTCGGCATGAGTGGGAAGTGGCTCAGCACCGGCACACTTGGTTTGGATGGTTTTGGAATAGTGGTTCAGTGAGACTGTGGCCTTTTCCACACGGGGATTCATGTCCAGGAGGTTTCGTTAGGAGAAGGGACAGATTGGAATAGAATGATCAGTGGCACCTTTGCCAGTTTGGTAAAGCACAGTGACCGGTGAACTGGACCCAGTGAAGGCTCGGGACCGCCCTTTAGCCTACATTTCCTGGGCCGTGTGCCCAGTCACTGGGGGCCTCTTTCCTGCTGGTCATGGGGTTCTGTGCAGTTGGGTTGTGGTGCTGGGTGTAGTTGTGTGTGAGCCCTCCTCAGTGATGTCCTGAAGCATCAAAGTCTGATACATTTATAATCTTGATTTTAAATATTTCATATTACATTGGAAACATTGTGCTCATTTTTATCCTGGGAGGCTGAGCTTATTTTTTCAGAAACCACCTTTTTCCATTTTCACGTGTGTAATTTTTAATCTTACACAGCTTTACTAACATGCACCCTGGCCCCAGGCAAGTTAGAGAGGTTAATGTCCTTTCCCATTCCTTCCTCCAGCTCCAGGGCACGTGTTTGGGGAAGGATTCTAGGGTCACACAGCCTGGGTTACTGGATTACTTGGGTTACTCCTAGTTATGTATGAGTCCCCGGTCTCCTCCTTTGCGCCTAATCTTGTCTGTTCTTTGTTTTGTAGGAAGATGACGATTCAGAAACCGAAAAACCTGAGACGGATGACCCAAAGGTATTTGGTGGCGGCGGCTGTGGGCGGCTCTGGTGGGTGACCGTGATGGGTGACCATGGTGGGCGGCTCTGATGGGCAGCTGCGCGGGGTGGCTGGATGTGAACAGAAGGTTTTAATGTGATGGCTCCGTTCGTATATCTGATCCTGATTTATCCGCGGATGCACTGCTACCCTGTGTCCATTCTCTGAGTTGAGGCAAGCTTTCTCAGGAGAGAGCTCACCCAAGAACAAGTTGGTCCCGAAGCAGATTAGAGGGCCCGCCCTGTATTAGTACTGGCGCACAGAGTCGGGGAGGCTGGGTCCAGCAGTCCACCTGTGTGTGTGTGCGTGCGCCGGCCATGGATTAGCTGTGGGGCTTTTTCTAGAATCTGCCAGGAAGCCCTCGGGATGGCCTTGTCTGGCCTGGGTTCTACTCAGTAGGGAGGGACTACAGAAGCGTCTGGCACAGCAGAGTGTCCCGTGTGCACCACTCTCAGGACCCTGTCCTTCGTGCTTGCCCCTCGGCACCTGTGCCTGACGAGACCTCAGCAGCCGGCTGGATTTTCTCTCTGACTGTGGAGGGGAAAGTCATTATGAGAACAATTTCTGTTCCTGTTGGGGAACTCTCTGAAATCGGGACATAGGAAATTCAGCCCCCAGAATAACTTTATTTTGGCATTCGGGAAGGTGATCAGGGAGCTTTCAGGAGACCCTAGCACAGACGTCCACTGGCCCAGGAGGCTACTAGAGGCCAGCCAGAGGCACAGTGAGGGATCGTGAGTCCCTGTGACCTCTATCCCCAGCACAGGTCCTCTTGATGTCCTGACCTGGCCCTTCCTTGGCTTCTGATTCTCCTAAATGTGGTCAGACTGTATAGATGCCGTCGCCTTCAACCCTCTGCCCTACCTCTGACCCAGAACTTTGCTGACACGTTTCCGCTTTCTCCTTATTGGTGTTTGGTGGTATTTTGGAGCACTTTGCTGGTATCTCTGACTATGGAGGTTCTAATACGAGGACAGGTCCCTGGAGGGAATCTTTGTTAGCACACGCTGGTGTCTTGAGCGTTTGCTCCACTAGATGGCAGGTGCAGCTGCTTTGACTTTGAAGCCTTTTTCTGCAGCAGCTGTCAGACATCTTCATGTCTGCACGATTTGAAGTTGAGGATGCCAAAGAGTTTTCATTAACTTTGATTTTCCATGTTGATATTTACTCTCGTAAATTACAACTGAGGAAATTTTTTAGTATTTACTATTTTGTTTAAAAAGAACTCTCAAAAATGGATTAAGACTGAAAACTAAGCCCTCTGTGTTTGCCTGGATTCCTACTCTGGCAGGTCTCTCAAGCTGTAAATCTTTAGAAGAAACTTCTTCGTCTTCTCCCGCGGAGCAGCTGGTGAATTCAAACTGTGGTTAGCAGCGTCCTGCACCTCCAGGCCTCCTTAATAAACCCCTGACAGGAACAGAGTATTGAGAAGGTGGAGGGTCTCTTTAATGTGGGATTTAGTAAAAGCTGGGCTAATTATGCTTCTACAGCCGGTGTGTTGCAGTATGTTGTTTGTTTTTTCACATAATGCTCATACCGCTCACAGGAAATTAGTATATGAGGGGGCTGCATTGTTTTAAAACACAGCATAGCATACATGTTATTTGTATAAAAATAGGATATATAACAAAAAGTGAAGGTTCACACAGGTAGTTGAAGAAAAGGGAAGGTATTTTAAAAAACCTTTAAAAAAAACCTTTTCAGATGTTTGTGGATACATTTTGCTCTTTCACCAAAACTCAACAAGTGGGTGTTTCCTAGAGGTTAGTTGCCTTGTGAAATGTGAATGTTTTCAGTGACTAGTGTTCTCTGCTTCGGTCATATCCACCTGTCTGTACTGTGAATGGACCTTTTTCTCATTGTGGTTTTATAACATCAGGCAGTAATCTGGGAAATATTGTTGTTGTTGTTATGTGCCATTGAGTCGCCTGCGACTCATAGCGACCCTATGTACAACAGCCCTAAACTCCACTCTGTCCTGGGCCAGTCGCACTGTCTCTGACACTCCCATCCCAATTATCCCAGTCACTGAATCAATCCACCTCATAGAGGGCCTTCCTCTCCTACGCCATCCCTCCACCCTCCCAAGCATAATGCCCTTCTCCAAGGACCTGTCTCTCCTCACAACATGTCCAAAGTATGTTAGACGGAGCCTCAGAATCCTTGCCTCCAAGGAGCCACCCGGTTTAACCCTTTCCAGGACAAATCTGTTTGTTTTCCTAGCAGTCCATGGTATTCTCAATACTCTTCTCCAGCACCACAGCTCAAAGGCATCAATTCTCCTTCTATCCTCCCTGGTCATTGTCCAACTCTCTGATGCATAACAAGTGATACTGTTCTTTTTTTAAAAAAAAAAATTTTAATGAACATTTACGGAGATTTTGGGTGTCCATTCATTCATTGTTGCACTATTCTCTCTACCCTCCTCCCAGTTTGTTCTTGTCCAAATGCCACAGTGCTTGTCAAAGCCAGTTCTGATTAATCTCCTTTGTCAGTGTGTCCTTTGCCATTCCCTATCACTCCTCCCTGAGAGAGACTTCACCCTGATTCATAAGGAAAAGGGGATGGCGTATTCTTTTAGCTACTTCGTGCTGAAAAGCGTCGCTCAGGGTGAAGATCTTCTCTCACTACTCTAAAGGGCCCCTTTGGCAGTAGGAAACACATAGACTATTATGGAGATTGATTTTGGAATTTAGGAAATACTGTTCTCTGTGTTATGTGCATCTTCTAAATGTTGAATGGTTTCGTTCTGTGATATTAAAAGGTGTTTAAGACATCATCCTTCTCCTCAGAGAAGCCGTTAAGTATCAACTGTCAAGTTGACGAGGAGGATAAAGCATTTTCTAACATTCTAGGTTTTGTGCCTCGGTGGTAAGGAGCTGCACTGCCAGGCCTAAGGCACGCAGTTTGAATCCACCAGCTGCTTCGTGGGAGAGCTTGGCCTCTGGTGTGATTTACTACCTCTGGAGACTCTCTGCAGGACCAGCTACAAGTTGGTACTTGAGTCGATGATTTAAGAACAACATTCTGTTTTTGCATGAGGTCTTGAATTTGTCACTGCCCATCAGTATTGGCAGGGTTTCCTTGAAGTGGCCAGCTCGCTTCATTCCGTTCTGAGAGATGCCAGAATCCTCACTGCTGCTCCATGGGATGGCCACTCATGGTATTTGGGAAACCTCAGAACTCGAGCTCATTGCCAGATGGACAGGTGGACTCAAGCCACCGACCTATCGGTTTGCACTGGGCTCCTTGGGTGTACAGAAGTGTTTATGCAGACCTTCTGTTTCATCATCCACAGTGTTTAAAAAGACTTGGACTCAGGGAGCTCTGGTGGCCTAGTGGCATAGAAGCTGCACTGCATTCCCAAAGGCACACAGTTCAAATCCACCAGATGTTGTGCTGGAGAAGGGGGGCAGTCTCCTCCTGTGCCAGATGGGTTCAATTCAGTGGTATATCACAAGTGAGATTTTAGCAAAATGAATACGTTTTACTTGTCCCCAAGTACGTTCTTAAAGGAAATTGACTTTTGCTTTCTTTTTTTTTTAAGCTGAGTACAGTGACAGATACAGTTTGGCACCACTACCTTGATTTGTGTCACCATGTTTGCTCACTGCTTGTACAAATGTCAACACACCAAAGGAGGCCAACCGGTTCTTAGGATTGTTCTGAAAATCATTCTGATCTTGTGGACCCCAAAGGCCACAGATCACCTGTGAGAGCCACTGTTGTTTAAAGCAAACACCTCCAGCCAGAAGCATTACGTGGTGTTTGAGAACTGCCAGCATTGTTCTGTGCCGGTCCATTGTGATTAGAGCCCTGGACTCAGAGATCAGGGCTTCTGCTGCCCGCGGAAGGGCCTGCAGGCCGTCGGAGTGACACTCGCTGGGCTTGTTGGTGAGTTAACTCAGTCAGTGATATAAGAGCATTCGTTTCAGCACCTGGCCCTGCCCATTGCTTTTCTGTTCATTTCCCAGGCTGGACGGGCAGGCCACAATAGCAGGCTTCTCTGGGGACATTTAGAATGGAGTGTGCTCAGGGAGGAGCACTTAGTAATGAAGGGGGGAGACAGCACAGCAGGTGAGGACATGTTGAAGGAGCTGGACTGGAAGTCCTAGAGAGACCCGGTGGTTACGTTCAGATGTGTGCAGGTCTAGGAAGAGAAGGGACGTGGCAGCCAGATGTTGACCTTGAAGCACTGTGTAGACACGGCATGAGAGGACTTGACTGTCACATAATAAACAGTCATTGCTCTGGCCAAGTGCGACTTGAGCAGCTTCCTGGGGTAGTGAACTCCCTGCTTCTGGACCCTTTTCAGGCAAGTTTTGAGCACCTGGAGAGAAAGACGTTGGCAGAGGTGACAGAGCGAGCATTCCGGGGAAGCCTCGCTGCGGCGTTTCGGTTTCAGCATTTGTGTTCTCCCTTCGGTTTTCTGGTCTCTCTCCTCTGAACAGCCCGGTTCTGCCTGGTGCTGATGACTCATCAGCAGGTGGCGCTCCTGTCCTGGGAAAGGGCAGAGAGGAGCCGGGGGCACGTGGCTGCGGGGCTGAGCCAGCTCCCCACTTCAGAGGAAGGGGCTGGGGGCTGACGTTCTGACCCCGTGTCCCCGCTTTACCTCGGCAACACTTTCCTTTGTTTATTTCACTCTCCACTCCCACTGCTCTGTGGATGGAGGTATTTCCACTCATTTAGTCCCCGACACACCCTTCCTTTGAAAACAAACTGCAGTTGATGACCGAGAGCTAAGGGCCTGTCTCCCTGGGAGGGCTGCTTGTTGGGGCTCTAACCTCGGAAGGAGTCCTGGTCTGAGAGCCAAAACAGCGTCTCTGGGTCAAGGAGGTGACTTCGGGTGGGGGACCGTCACTCCAGCATTTTACAAAGGCGGGTATGATCCCAGTTAGAGAGAAACCATTGTAAAAGTTCTTAGTGCTTGAAAACTCTGATGACGTGCAGAGTTCACGACTTAGAGCTGGGGGCGAGGA